AGAACAAAAAGGTTTAAGAGGTTGGAGGTCTAATGTTACCGCTAGCCTAATAAGCGACGTTGATAAGGAAGGAGGCGTAAACTTCCTGATTAAATGTTCCTCCCTTGTGGCTCGTGGAGATTCATGAAGTACCTTAACAACTGAAAAAAAGTCTTCAGCTGCCCTGACTAGCTTTTTTATTTTGGTCTTAAGTAATATAGCAATGGTTACAACATCATTTTGCATGTGTCATTGTTTTCAATTGTTTAAAATCATCAATACTGTCTAAAATAAAATCTGAAATGTCAATCAAGTAAGTTTTTATCAAATAAGCATTATGCATCGTAATTCTCGTTTCGGTGAATATTATTTATATAAAATTAGCTCCCAAAATAATTTTTTTAAAAATCAAAATGACTGAAAAGAACACCGCACTGTAATCGGTTTGTAAAAATCATGTTTAATACTTACAGCGGTTCCCAAAAAACCCTTTTGGAAGAATGATTATATACATATGCTAGATTAGCTTGGCAAAATAAAAAAATCTTTTAATTTTATCTGAAGGAGATATTCAATTTATAAGATTTTGCTGAAAAGCACCTTAAATAAGTACAGTTAAAATAACAATTTTTTTTTCTTTAAACATAAAATTTTTCTATATAGTGTTACCAAGGAGAGAATACTAAAATAAATGTTGAAAAACGACGTTTATATAGCCGTTGTTTTGTAGGTTGTTGCAAATTAGGAAGTAATAAAAAAGTTAGGTTAATAAAAGAAAGGAAGATAATGAAGTGTAACTAAAAATGGAAGAGATTAAATATTTTATGAAAAATAAATTCATAACTAGACATACATTAGGCAATAGGCCGGGTGAATAAAAATGAGCAATTGCTTTTACTCAGTATTTGGTCTTTAGGAGCTTTGCTCAAATTTTTATTCACGTAAAGTTAAGCAATTTACTTAGTAGTTGTTCAGCTTTACGCGAATAAAAACTTTACCAAAACTCCTAAAGTTTTTTTCACGTAAAGCTGACCAATTACTGAAAAAAAGCAATTGCTGATTTTTATTCACCCGGCCTAATAAGTCGTGTAACTTGTTTAGAATTACGCAATAAATCTTGTAGCTTGTTATGAATTAGGCTTTGCGTAATGAAATTGATCTCGTTCTTATAAAAGATTATTAATAATAACCTTTTTTTTAATAACAAGACCTAATAAAATTAAATTCACGAGGAAAGCTGTGTGTTTTCTATGTATACAAAAATATACAGGAGAACTTTCAACATTATTATTGACAAACTCATTCTTATAAACTTTTAACACAAACTTTTTTAAAAAAGAAAGAATTTTAAAAAGAAAAAACATTAAAAAAAGTTTGTGACTTTCCTACTACTACTACTACTACTACTACTACTACTACTACTACTACTACTACTACTACTACTACTACTACTACTATAACTTTTGCGGAAGAGCCCTAGTGTTACGAATTTTGACATTGAGACAAGAGAAGCGTAAAAACGTTATTTAAAACAATTTTTTTTTTTAATTGCTGCAAAATTATAGGTATTTGTTATTTAAAAGTATTTTTTTAACTTAAAAATATTTTACGCATACAAAATTAACTTTTTATTTACTAGTTTTTACGGCTTGCGTAACATGAGGGCCAAACATAATTCCCCTCGCTATATGAAAACTTCGCCAAAAAACAACAACTGTTTCTGAAAACCAAGTAATTTCCCCCTAAAAATAACATAGTTCCACCACTCTTTATATTTTAGTTCCCTAAATTTTTTTTGCTACTTGTATTTTTTTTTTCCGCGCATTATCTTGAGGGAAGTTACTGAAATGTCTTTGATCGGTTCGATTTTGTTAAAACTTTTCAGTTGCAATCGTAGGAAAAGAGAAATTAATGTCCTATTTATTTCTGTTCATATAAGCGCAAGTAGTTAAATATTTTAATGAAGTTTTTTATTTCTGCTATTATACTATATAAATTAATATAGGTATTACTTTTTAATTGAAATTTTCATTATATGTTTTATTATACAAATTTCTTGATTTTAGTAACATAAGGGCGCACTTTTTTAAAAAATTAGTTATTGAAAATTTTTGATATTTTTAGGTTTAACTGACTATTAACAAATATCAAACACACTTTACTGTTTGCAACTAGTATATTTTACCTAAAAAATTTAATTATTAGGTTTTATACTTACTATCAAGCCCGAACTGTAAGGGAGGGGGAAGAGGGCCTTAGAGTTTTGCGACCGACCTTTTGTACCTTCATTTTAAATTTTCTTTTTAATTTGAAAACAAAAAAATCTGCTTGACTTTTTATTTTATGCAAAAAAAAAGACAGAGGGGCCTTAAAGGTTGTTTAATCAATCTAATGTAATATAAGTTTCTACTTTTAAATAGTGCAAATATACTAAATGCTTTCATTGAATGATTTTAATACTAAATTAACCAAATTGATCAGTTTTACAAAATATATTTTTTTTCAAATCACATTTTAATACATTTCTAAGTATCATAAGAGCCATAAGGCTTATAAAAGACTTAAAGATATTAAAACTTAAATATATATCTTTATTTTTTTAGCGTGCAGCATTGATTAGCTTTGACTTAAAAAGAACCCTGAGTTAGAACTCAATGTTCATGGTTTGATCCCGGCTTTAGCTAAATAAACAACTTTTTTTTTTCAAATCCTACAATCCTTATCTTTACTTGTAACTTGCAATACTTAACTCATTTAAAAATCATACTCGCATGTTACATCTTTAAAATCAAATTTTAAACATCCTTCAAGCGTTATAATAACGCTTTAAAGGTGTTTAAGAAGAACTAACGGTCTTATCTCAGAACTGGCAGGTGCCGGTATAGAACTTGAGGTTTCTTGGTTTTGAGCCAGAAATTTTTGGCGTATCTAATTTTGTAATATAACTCGAGCACAGGGTAAGATTTTTTGTGGTTGTCCTAATTCTAAATATGCAATTCAATATTCATATTTCAATTATTTATAAATATTGGTTTGCATAAAACCTTTATAGTTGAAGCCAGACAACTTGGTATTTACATTCCAGCTATATTGTTTAAAACAGTGATTTCTAGTTTTATATATCTATATCATAATTGATATGGATATATAAAACGATTTTTATATATCTACATCAATTAAATAATTTTCACAATTAAAGCGACTGAAATACTAACAAAATTATGTGACAATAAATTCATTTTATCTGTATAAATAAAGCGCAATTATTTGGAAATTACTACGCGTATTTTTTTTTTTGGAAACAATTCAACACGCACTTCTTTTTTTTTCCATTTAGAAGAAAACTTTTTGTTATTAAAAATTGGACTAGGGTGTCTCATTCACAAAAAATTTTATAATTATCACGCAACTTTTAAATTGAGGTTTGTACTAAGAAAAACAATACATACGAAGTATTTTTTTTTTAATAAAAAACTTTAGGGTCACAACAAAAAATGCCAAAATATCCGTTTTTACCGTCTTTATTAAGCATTTTTTTAAAACAAGTTAACAAAAATATTCCGTAACAATTTCAATTTTTACACAGTATTATTTACTATTTTACTGTTGTATAAAAAATTTGACTTAAAAAACTAATTTAAAGGTACCCCGAATTAAATAGCGAAATTGTTTTGTAATTTGGCAAAGTCAGTAAAGGAATTTGCGCCAGATTTCGTTATACGTTATCGCTAACTATTATTAACTGTGCTGGCTTAAATGCGGGACAAAATAAAAATGTATTTATAAAAGACTTCAAGACTTTTGTAAATGTTTGGCTAAAAAAAATTTTTATTTTTAACGATAGAAAAGTTAATCGTAGCAAAATTCTTTGAATGTCTTCTCAATTAGTTAGTAACTCAGCCATGTGCTTTTGCTGCTGTTTGTATTGTGTTTTTTCTGTGGCTACAACAAAAATGAATCTACATTCTAAACTATTAACACCTAGTGAACCTATAAGATCCTTGCGAAATCATCAGATTACTTTATTGGATTTGGATTAGAGAAAAGCCAGATAACAAGTGCATCGAGTTTTTTATTGCAGTTTTTAATGAATGGCAAAGTGTGTTGAAGAAGAGAATAAAGTGTCCGAAAAAAAAAAGACCATATTTTGGAACCATTAAACTTGGAACAAAATCATGTGCCAATAGAATCAATTTAAATGATTATATTTCATAAGTAAAGGTGTGACAACATTAATGACAAAAATTATAGCTTTCAGCATTTATTAATATAGTAATAAAGTACAAATTGAAAAAAAAATTATAAAATAAATAATGAATTGCCTTGAATTGTAAAGATGATTTTTACAAAGCATGTGCTTTCCTGTTTTCTATTATGCTCTACTCGTAAATCAATTTTGTACAGCTTGCCTAGAATATTTAGGTTATACCTTTTCATCTATTTATATATACCTTGCAATGCTTCTAGATAACTAAATAAATAAAAAAATATTAAACTATACATATGCATATATATATATATATATATATATATATATATATATATATATATATATATATATATATATATATATATATATATATATATATATATATATATATATATATATATATATATATATATATACTAATTCAGAAAAAAATAAGCTACACAAAAATTAATTTTAAAGGAGTTTTTTATTTGTCTTTTAAACTTGATAGATTCTTATCACACCAATGCTATTACACCAATACTGATAGACTCTCATCACATTAATGCTACCTGTTTAAAAAAGGAAAAAAATCAAATAATAAATTATTCAAATTAAACAGCGATTGCAAAAAACTGCTAAAAACTATATTAACAAATTAAACCTATTAAAGCTCAAACAAATACTTGCTACCTTGTTAAATGTTACTTTGGTATTCTGCAATTCTTAATGATTATTAAATAACTAAATGATAATTTGATTAAAAATAATAATTTGATTTAATGATATTAATTATTTAAAATTATTATTCTTTAATTTTTTTAAATTAAATATATATATGTTAGTTTAACTTAAATGTAAATTATATGTAAGTTAAACTTACTTTAAGTTTAATTTACATATACTGTAACTTTGGTTACAGTAACTTAAGCAACATATCAAAACATATCAAAAATATTTTCTACTTTATTCATAAAATAACCTCTTCTACTAAACACACAGAAAAACTTAATAAAATAGTATAAAATAATGCTTCAAGTTTATTGTAGTATTATATTTAAAATTTAAAAGTAAACTTCAATATTTAACAACCATAATATAAAGGCAAACAGAAAATATTTTATTATACTTTAATACTAATAATATTTTATAATGTTTTGAAATTCTTTTGTCTTTCAGTTCTCATCTTTACAATCAATGATTGAACCCCAAACCGCTTCACAAGCTGAACTAATTCTGGTTGACTTTTTAATAATGAAGTAAACTGACTTTTAACAATAGGTTCATTTGAAAATATAATTGATGATAGATATTTGTATATAAGCCGATTATCATCTTCAGCAAATTCTTTTCTTGTTCTTTTGAACGCGACTTCTGGAGATGGTGCAATATAATCTAAGTAAGAAAAATCATCAGTTTTAACATCATCTGTGCTTTCGAAAAATTCATCATTTACATTTATTTTGCTTTCTTTTTTATCTCGAAAATTATATAACTTTCTTATAGGTTCATCTTTCTTCTTTTTTTTCCCTGCAAAATCATCTTTTTCTTCGATTGCTTTAATTCTAGGCTCTATTGAGAATTGAACCTTTTCAACATTTGGTGTGGATCCTGCAGTTATATTTCTTTTACGGATTGTATGTCTTACTTTATCCAAGACTTTCTTCAAATCACTGTCTGTACCTGAAATCTTTTTTCTTACATCGGCAATAGTAATCAAACCTTTGTTTATCTCATCATTAAACAAGTCCATAGTGGTGTCTACTTTATCAGCAACATTTTTAAAAACTCCATCAGTTGATCTTTGTACAGAAGTTAATGCAGTACATGTGCTTGATGCAGAATTTCGTGTGTCATACAATGCATAATTTGATTCAGCAACTTTCAAGCTGTGGCACAAGTGTTGTGCTGTTTTTTGCTTTAAATGAGGAAATTTACTATGGACTTTAGTTGTAGTGTATTTCCTCACAAGGGTTGGATTCATTGCAGAAGAATCTGAATTCTTTTTGCCCAAAGCACGGTTCCAAAATAGGGTAAACTGCGAGGATATCATTGATGAATCCATAGCTAAACCACTGAAACTTAGGAATACAGGTTCCTTATCAGTTGGATGAGATATACCTTCAAGCTTATTCCTAAGAAACTGTATGTAAACTGCAACTTCATTGTACAGTTCTACAGTCATTGCTATGTTAGCAGGTCCTTTGTAGCTTGTTTTGTGTTTCTTAACACTAATTGTATAGCCGCTAGCATTATGAAGAGCTCTTCTAAATTCACCAATTGTCATATTTGCAATTGCACCAGGCCTTGATGCATTATTGAATAGTATGTAGGTTAATAAATATGATCTGGCTAAACAATAATTAGACTTATTTAAAACAAAGTTACTGTTATTGCAGCTTTTTAAAATTTTCTTTGCATTTTTAACATAATCTGAAGCATCAAATTGAATGATTTCTTGCTCAGATGGAAAGTTGTGAAAATCTTCTAAATCTTTCTCATACTGCCTTTCTTGAATGCCTTTCCATAAGGTACGCATCCATTGTTTAATTAAAACTTTTAGTTTCACATACTCATCATTAGTAATGATATCATTTCTTTGTCTCAAAATACAAAAATCTAAAAATATTTGTATCGAACCTAAATAAGTTTTAATTGTTCCAGGTTGTTTCTGTTCACTTTGCATTTTCAACATCCATGAGTTTAAAAAAGAAGTGCAAGAAAGATGCTTGTAATTAATGTCATCATCTGCAGCATGTCGCACAACACCCATAATTACATTTTTATGTTTTTTAGCTGTACGCTCAGGTTTGATCCCACCATCTGGACTTTGCAGCCAAATTACAAAATCATCTAAAAATTGTTCTTCTTCAGATGAAGCCATGTAAAAAATCTGCTCACCATCTTCAAAGTCCACAGATGAACTTTCAGAATCTTCTTTAGTTGGTGACATATCTCTTTTACTTCTAAGATCATGGCCAATATGATCTTCAGAACACTTTTCTAATCTCTTTTGAAGATATTGAATACCAAGCCAATCATCATCCTCACTGTCCGAAGCCAAGAAATTGCTGTCGCTATGAATGGCTTTAGTGAAATTATTTTCTAATAATACTTCATCGTCTGTAAATGAAGAATCATCAGAACTTGACTCGTCATTTGACTCTTTATCACTAATTTCAAGAACAGGTCTTGCAAGCATAGTTGCTCTTTGAACTTCTTCTTTTGTTTTCAAACCATGAAACTGTCTTAGATGATTGTTTAATCTTTTAACTTCTTTCAGGCAGTTAGAAAAACCACATATTTGTTTTTTGTATTGACGGATCTTTGATTGTCTTTTAGAAGGTGAGAGCACTTTTCTTGGTAAGTTGAGATCAAAATCTACTCTAGCGTTTTTTGCTTTTATCCGATCCCAGACATGTTTTTTAGACATTAAATGTCTGTCTAGATGTGCCACTTGCCTAACAATAAAAAAATACATTAAGCTTAATGAAAGTAGATAATAACTAAAAAAAATTTAGTTTATATCTTATTATATATCGATGTTTTAATACTGAGACAAAACTTATATACTTTTTACTATACAAAACAATACTTAATATGTATTAAATTTAATGTATCAAATTTTGTAATCTTTATATAATATTTATGAAAACTACTTTCATTACTTTTATTAAGAACCTAAATAACTTTGTATTAACTTTGCTAGAACTTTGTATAACTAAGTATAAACTAAGTACAACTTTGTTATAACTTCATACAACTTAATGAAAGAGTTATTATCATTATCTTTTTTTTACAGTAAAAAAATATTTATTAAGATATACTCACTTATAACATTGAGGACATTTAACTTTTCTGCGAGTTTTAACCTCTTTTGAGCCTTTATTTATGGCAGAAGCTTTCAGTTTTGAAATGACCTTTTAAAACAACAACAACAATATTTTTTTTTTTTAATAAAAACATATATATATATATATATATATATATATATATATATATATATATATATATATATATATATATATATATAAACACTCATACCTACATTTACTAAATTGAAAAATGTATATATAAAATTATATAACTAAATATCAAATTTATAAATACTGTTGATGCAGCCAGGAAATCATCGTTTTCAAGAGCTCTCATTATTTCACTTTTCATGCTTAATTAAATAAGGTTTATAAAATAAATAATATTATAAATTAATAGGATTGGTTTGAAAAACAAAAGTTATAAATAGTATATCTACCTTTCATTTGACACCTTGGAAGCTGGTTTAATTTCCAAAGGTTTATTCCTTTATAAATATATATAAAAAAAACTATATCTTAAACATTTAGCAAAAGCGCAAATTAATGTAAATAAAATAATTACACATTTTTTGTAACTAAATAAATAGAAGAATTATTCTAATCTAACCTTGCAGAAAAAAACTTTTCCAAAAAAACTTCAGTCTAAAATATAATTTTTTTAACATAAACACCTAAAATAATATCAAATTATGAAAAAACAATTGTTCCAAATATAACAAAGTGAGAAACTTTGTTGCAAATGTTACAAAGAGAAGTATTTTAAGGTGTATCTATTTATTATATATAAAAATATTTTAAACGTGACTTTCTTACCTGAATTCTGGACCATTGCATAAATTTAGCAAAAAGACTTACAATACATTCAGGAACAATAACCTTATAGATGTAATCATTGTACTGAAAAAAAATTAGATAAAAAATATACAACTATTGAAACATATTGGTAACTTAATTGTATACTTAATCATACCTTGGTTTCACGAAAATTTGATCCTAATGCCATATATAAAAAGTTGGATTGATCCTCGGACAACAGCTCAACCAAATTTGATCTATTTTCAAAATTTATCATATTTTCTGAAGTGAAAATAAAATATCTTTAAATATTTTTAATACAAAAAAAAAAAAAAAATTACTAATTTTACAAAAAATAAATTTAAATACAAACTAGAAATATAAATTAATACTTAAACATTATTACTTTAAGTATAAATTATAAAATTTTGTTAACATAATAATTTAATTTTTTTGCACTAATATTTTATAATAACACAGTCTTTACTTTTTTGGGAGCCTCCTTCTTTGTATATATTGTGCCTATAACTATGCAACTAAAAAATAAAAAAGTCAATTAAGTGCACAAGTATATTGAACATTTAATTAAAACTGGCAACCAATCACCAAATTATAAGCTTTTCCTATCATACCAAAACTTTGTGGTGAATTTCATTATGTGGTGAAACTAATTTTGCAAGAAATTTAAATCTTTTTATCTTGATACCATATAGTGATAGTACACCATAAAAATTTAATATAACCTTACACTTTTAACATTATTTAAACAAGTTATTATCTGTTTTAATAAATTAAGATTAAAAACTATTAAAACTATACTTTTCCAGAAAAAATCATTTTCAATGTTGAAGATGCAGCAATTTCATTAAAGTCTTTTTTTGTAATCTTTTTCAAAACTTAAAAAAATATATATCTATGTGTATAATATATATATATATATATATATATATATATATATATATATATATATATACATATATATACATATATATATATATATATATATATATATATATATATATATATATATATATATATATATATATATATATATATATATATATATATATATATATATATATATATATATATATATACATCGTTGGTATAAAAGAGAAATGTACTCATCCACTCCAAAAAAACCATTATGAGATAATGAACAAATAAGTTTATACATAATAGGTAAAATAACAAGTTTTTGTAACTTTAAAACAACCACTGTTGTCCAATGTTTACTTGCTTTATATATATATAAAATAAGTTTTTTTTACTACAAAAAATTTTTCTTGAATTATTTCAACTTTTATTTTTATTCATAAATAACCTTTTGCACCCTAAAAAAGTAGAAAATGAACTCAATAATATTCTGATTCTGATTTTTTTAATTGTGAAGAAATTTGCTAAAATTTCAAAAAAAAAAAAAAATGCCTAAACGTTTGAAACCAATATGTATACTACTCAAGACAATACCTGTTTTATTTTTTTAACACTAATATACTTTCAATTCAAAAATTATATTTTTATTACTATGATGAAAGTGTTGGAAACAGATGTTCTGATGTTGCAAGTTCTATGCTGCATAATTTTTAAATTATTTTCTCAAGTGTAAGGGATATCAAATTGATTTGCAATTTTTTTACTATGCAAAATACAAAATGAAAAGTTTAATTTGATTTTATTATCTAGTTTTAAAACTGAAAAACTTGACAGCATTAATGTTTCATTACCAAATAGAACTCTGTCACATTATGTACATAAATTACACCTCTTAAAAATGTGACAGAAACATTGGCCATTGCAAATCAAAAGTTTTTTGCAGAAACACTAGACTATCTTACAAAAAATCATAACAACTCTATATTGTATACAAACATGATACAAGAAAAATTTCTGAAATTTGCAGAGTTTGAAAGCCAAACTTTTTGGTTGTTTGTTCATTTAAGACATGTGCACTTAGAGAAATTGAAATATTAAAGGTTATGAAATATTTAAAGTTAAAGTTTAACTATATGGAAAAATGGAAATATTCAATTTTATGTTACATTTC